TGATTCAGCCTACAGTCCATCTCCAGTCACCACCGAGAATGAGGAAATACAGAATCGTTTTAATAAGAGGTTTGTTTTGAAAAAAAGGACATAGCAAAATAAAGAATATGATTTTAAGTTTAGATTGCTTATCATAGCTTTCTTATCATTAAATTTCAGATGGAGTGACGAGGGTTGTCCCCTTCCCACCTCAGGCGGATCTGACGGCGATGTGACGCACACTTACGTGAATCTTAGAAGAATTTCCCTTGGCGCACAAATTGGGCAAAAGGCACCGATCGTGAGAGCCGACGAAATGGAGTTCGATGATGAAAGGGGCACACAATCGGATCCGCATGAATCGACACAATTCGAAGAGTTCACAATGACAACCATCGCCCCTCCATCACCAATTCCACAACTGCCCCCACCCAGGCGATACATTAATCTCATCAGCAATCTTTAAGAAATCGCTGGGAATAGCTGGAAATAGCTTTTTATACTTTTTGCTTGTAAACCCATCCTTTCTAGCGCATTGAAATCGTCAATTTCTAAGAGAAATGAAAATTCGTGTGCACCAAAGAGTCGTTTACAAAGTAGAAAGAAGATTTTTCAATTTTTCAATCAATTTGTTAACTCTTTTACTGTTGAGCTTCGTTATTTGAATACCCCATTATTGCCATTTTTTTTCTTTCTTTCTATAAGAAAGTTTATGCAAGTTTTTGTCGTTTTTGTCGTTTTTGTCGCTTTTCTAAAGTTAATCTATTGTGTTTTTATATGTGATAATGATCAGCGCCTACTTTTGATCATTTTTTGAGATTTTCGTATTTAGATTAGTTTTTTTTTGGTTTAAGATAAATTTTTGTTTGGTAAATTTTGAAGAAAAAAAACGATTACAAGAAAGATCAAGAAAAACTGAGGTTGTCAATTTTTTTTTTGAAAATCTAAACAAACAGGTCAATAGAAAAGATTGCTTTTTTTTTTGGATATGAAAAATTATGAAAGTTTTATTCTATAGATATTCTATAGAATATTGATTCTATTGATATTCTATAGGATATTGATATTCCATAGAATATTGATTCTATTGATATTCTATTGATATTCTATTGATATTCTATTGATTATCATTTACATATTGATTCTATTTATATTCTATAGGATCTTGGTTCTATAGAATATTTATTCTATTGATATTCTATAGAATATTGATTCTACAATCTCATAGTTTAGTATGTAGGAAATTTTCGGCAAGCAATAAGATTCCAAATTGCTTTGTCCTGTGTTCTTGAAGATGTCCTTTATGATCATCTTTATGATCATTTTCAAGAACAGAAACACATCCTTTCTTGTACACTAAATTCTTGATTTTCTTGCAGAAAGTATTTCAAGAAATAAAGACTTTTCTTTTGGCGAAAAGATTATTCTTTATCGATTCCAGAGTTGACGTAAAGTTAACAAACTGGCTTGTCTTGAAGAACAAAACTGTTTATAAACTTTTTCTATGCGAAATTATATGCATTTTTTTTGTTATTGTCTAACCGGGGTTTAGAAATTTATTCATAAGATTATATAATACTAAAAATATTAGGTTGTTCGGATTTAAACGAGCGTTTGCACTGCTTGACTCGTGAGGAAGCCATTTCCCGCATCAGATCGTCTTTCCAATGGCGTGGAGATGCTCATCAATAGTAGAATTTGAACATAGAAACTGTTGAGCAAGTTCACGCGTCGTTTGACATGGATCCGATTCGATTGCAGCCCTCAAAATATTGTTGTCTACCCCTTGAGGTCGACGAGAGTATTCATCGTCCTCGAGACTTTCATCACCGTTCCGAAAGCGTTGGAACCAGACTCGGCATCGGCTTTCGAAGGCCGGCTTTCGGCATCATTCCCAAATGCTTTGACCAAATCTCGATGGGATTCCGTGACTGTTTTTGCCCAGTTTAAAGTCGTAAAGTAGCGCCAGACGACAGATGACAGACGCGAACTTGATATATTTGAAGTCGGTCATCTAAAGCAAGAAAAAAAGATCTTAAAAATAAGAAATTATCCGTTTAAAAAGATTCCAAATATGCACAAGATAACGTACTTTTTAAATACAGAAAGACAAGTTTTAAAAGCTTCTCTCACAACAATAAGTTTAGCAACGTTGCAGACAAAGCAACAAAGCAACAAACGCTTGTTTATATCCAAAAAACCTAATAATACCCACGAAAAGCTCTTAATTTCTTAACCTGAACAGAGTCTAGCCAGCATTAGCTGGGTTGGATTTGTCAAAATGTTCATAAAAACAATATCTTTAGCTATCTACAATATCTTGAACAATTTATGAATAATATCTTTAGTAATTTCTAATAATTCTTTTGTTCATCCAAGAATTCCCTCTATTTTTCTTCATGATTTACTTTTAGTTTACAGCTGTGCACCCAGCAGGGTCATCGCTTTTTTTCTAGGACAAAAAAACCCTTCAAAATCCATCTCAAATTTCACTTTTGTCACCGGTTTTTTTGAACAATTTGAACAAGAAAAAGGCTTAACTCAAACTTTCAAATGATTTTGTTTTTAAAATTTTGTCTTTTCTGTCATTCTTAGCTTTTCTATGAACTTGAAGAGCTTTTTTCGGTTTCTGGGAAACTAATTACCGTATTCTCTCTAATAGTAGTGCGCACTACTATTTTTTTCAACCCCCTCTCGGACCGCAATACTATTAGAGAGTGCACTACTATTGGAGAGAATACGGTAATAGTATTTCAAAACTCTATACTTTCAAAAGTACACATCCTTTTTACTAAAAACCTTAAACTTTCTTGACATTTTATTTCTTTTCTAAATTTGGTCGTTCTTGATTTCAAATGGATCTCGTTTTGAATCAGAATTTCGAGAAAAGAAAAAAAATTGAGATGACATTCAAACTTTAGCTCTAAATGTTGAGACTTTTCGAAAAGCCCATAAAATTTTTTTGAAATCTTGAAACAGTACAATGGGAATTTGCACGGGAAATTGGAATTTGACCTTTGAAAACGTTTACTGTTATCCTTGTCTTTTGATTAGACCAGTATTTGACTCGTTCAATCAAAAATTTTCGAACAAACTAGAACACGAACAAGGATTACAAAGTTAGAAGCCAGACGAAATCAGGTGCTAGGCCAGGTGCTAGGTCTGACTGGCTAGGTCTGACTGGCTAGGACAGCTTCCGCACTTGTAAATCAAGCCAATTTAGGTTAGAAGCTAGGCTCAGACTGACCACACAAAGAAATTTCCCCCAGTGGTGGATTAAGCACTATTGTATCGATACTTGTGACTGTTGTTGTACTAAGTCTTTCACCAGGTTGTACTAAGTCTTTCATTAGGTTGTACAAGGTCTTTGACCAGGTTGTACTAAGGCTTTCACCCAAATTCACCTTTTAATTGAATAAATTTACCAAATGATTGTCCTATCATTTCTCTTGTAAATGACTTTTGAAAGTTTCTGAAAAGCTTTTTTTTTTGAAGATTTTTCATTACCAAGAAGCCGAGTGTTCAAAAAGGACAAGGTTCGATGATGCGATTTCGATCGTTTCTTCCAATCAAACCTATTTTAATGACAAAATAGAAAGGATAGCGCACAAAAAGTTCGGTCTACAACCAAATTTTCCGACTAATCTAGTCAAAAGAAATCACAAGTAGACTGTAACGTATTTGTGACTTTATTCGGCACTTTTAATTGCAAATTGTAAATAAATTCAAGTTTTAATGCATTCTGCAAATTATGTAAATGCAAAAAAGTCACAAGAATCAGAGTATCTAAGCCAGGTTTGATTGGAAAAAATGGGTTTGAAGTGAATGCAAGTGAACAAAACAAAAAATCCAGCCATTAGTGATCATTCAACTGAAAAGTTTTCCAATAAATTTCTGATATCATCCAAAAAATGTTCCTCGAAACTACTTGAGGTCAGATCTTGGATTCAATTCTTTTCCTTGAGTGTTCTCTTTCCTTTTCCCTTTCATTTATTTCTCTCCAGTTGTCCACAAATATCGATCGACTTCCCCGTTGCCAATGTCCCCTTTTCTCCTTTTCAAAAGGCAACACCGAAATTCCAACTAATTCCGAAATTCCAGCTAAAATTTTCGTTTCATAACAAGTAGAATATACAATTTTTTTATTATTTAATGAAAAAATGCCAGTTTTCCATTTCAAATTTCACAATTTTTATGAAAAAAGTGATAGTTTTTTCATAAAAACTTGGTTTTTTACTCATTTTTACTCTAAATTTGAGCAAAATTTTAATTTTCCGCTTTTAAAACTTTAAAATTCGATTATTTCTTGAACATTTCATGATCAAATTATCTATTTTTAAGGTTTTCTTGTCTTGTTTAAATGCTAAAACCAAAATCGATATAGTTTTTTTTCATTGTAAGCCATTTCTACCCTTTAATTTACTATTCTTGACGATTTTATAACCAAAATGTGTTTTTTCTTGGAAACCATTTGAAATTTGATTAATAATAGATTCATTTTATCGTCAAACTTTTCATTTTTAAAGTATTTTATGTCTTGTTTGACTGTTCAAGCTAAAATGAATCCACTTTTATTGGAAATTATTCCAAAAATACCCCCATTTCCTCTAAATACAAATTTTCCCTCTATCGTTGTATACTTATTCGATAATTTTTATGTGCTTGCTTTCGTAAAAAAAACGGAAAACTTTTAAATTACAACAAAAAATCAGAAAAGTTTGTCAAATTTGATTGCCAACCCAAAATTTTCTTCATTTATTGCGAGATTTTTGTTGCGCAATCAAAGTTGAACACAAATTTTCTGATAAACTTTTTATTTAGAAAGATTTTTTTGGCTAAATTTATATGTTGGGTATTTATAATGTTATAGTAGTCAATTTTTATTTGATTATTCAAGTTTTAGAAGCTAAAAGAGTTGCCACCAGAGTGCCACGTTTCTTTGTTTACAATGTTTTCATCAATTCCTTTAAATTGTGTTTTTCATTTTCAGTGTTCTAATCTAATTTCTAAATTTCAGAGAAATGTGGATAGGATCTATTCTTTTCACCATCATATTCTCGTCGGTGTTTGGCGATAAAGAGAGGGTGATTGATGGGGCGGGAGCGAGGATTCAACATCATCATCACGTCGATGGAGAATCTGATGATATCGACCATCAGGTGGGGAGAATTTTCTTTTTTTAAAATTTTGTACGTACCAGCAATTAGATCTGTTTCTAAAACGTCTCACGTTTCGAAAACTACTGAAAGCTTTTATCCAAATCTATTCACTATCTTTCGGCATTCTTTGTAATCGCTCACAAAATTAAACCAAAATTGATGTTACGTCCGATTAAGAATTTATCGAATCAATTGTGTAAAAATATGAAATGTTCAATGCGAAATGATGCAAATCTAATTTTTTTCAAGCATCTACGAGTGTTTTCTTTATTGGTACTATATCGAATCATCAGCAGGCACGCAGTAGTGTTATTTTCCCTTTAATAGGTTCTAAAGATATCATGAAAAGATCTTATAAATGAAGAAAATAGTAAAAACTTATTGCAATCAGCTAACAAAAATGTAAAAAGATCTCAATATCAGCATTTATCTCAATATCAGCAGTGTTCTACACTCTCCCGTGACTTCGAATGTCAAGGGTTTTCCGTGAATTAATTTGCAATTAGGTTAAATTATTCCTTAACTAACTATCAACTATCAAAACTATCAAACTATCAAAACTTAACTATCAAAACTAACATTAATTAGATATTCAAGCAGATTGGCATTGAGCATTTCATATTTTTACACAATTGATTCAAAAATTTTTACTCGGATGTCGGATTTAATCAATAATTTTAATCCATTTAAGGCTCACAGACTTACATGGAAATAGGTTGCCACCTTTATATTCTCGCGACAGCCCCACAAAACTTCAAATATTCAGTGATTCAATTGAAAATTTATGTGAATTTCAAATCGGACGTAACATATAGATAGATTGGATAAAAACCAAAAGGCAAGCTTAGCCAAGGAAACTTTTTGCACGTTTCCCAAAGGAGCTTTTCTTTTATCTATAAAAATTAGGTCAAGTTACAATGTAGCTGGATTCAAATCCGAATTCAAAACTGACCCATTCAAACCAACCTCTAAAGGTTCATCACTTAAAGCTTTCCGCTCAGGTCCAAAGGCAACATGTGTGTGCAGATGTGTGGTTAAAGGGGGGTCAAACACCAGATCGGTTACAAAGAAAAGAAACGATTATAGAAAGCCTAATTGGTGACTCGAGGAGATCTCTTTCCAATAAAATTCCGATGATCAGATGGTCAATTTGACCCCTTTTGACCCCGATTATGAGCCATTAAAGCCGGCAATCAAAGCTCTCATCAAAGCTCATGACTTTGCGCCAGTTTTGAATTATTTACGATTGAGGGAAGAGGGAACAAGGGAATTATTTTGAGGGTGTACTTTGGGTTCCTGTAAACGTACCCTTTCTGGGGCACTGAATTGATCACTTTTTGCGTAACTGCAGACCGTTTCTTAGGGTAACTGAAGGGATCGGTGCACAGGAAAAGGTGTGTTGGGTGCACGTCCTTTGAACACAAAGTACTCTCATAAGGCTTCTCATTGTAGAATATTTTAAGCCAAAAAGGTGTGGTTAAGTCCATATTATAACTGCTTTACATAGAGGGTTAAGTAAATAACAAGAACAAGAGAACATTGATTTTGTTAGAGGGATTTTCGTAAAGAACTAATTCCCCTTCAGATTATAAAACATACTAATCTAATCTCAATTTCCAGGCAATTCTTGGCTCAAAGCATCAAGCCGAAGAATTCGATCAACTCAGCCCCGAAGAATCCCAAGCTCGCCTGAAAATTTTGGCGAAGAAAATGGACAAGAACGGTGATGGATATGTAAGTTTAATAAATTAATTTAATATAAACATTATAAGTTTAGACTCTTGACAAATATAGTGAAAGAGTAAGGAGGACTACAATAATGATTTCCCGTCTGGGGTTTTGTTACTGAACCTATCCAAAGATGATCTAAAATATGCCAAATCATTTGATATTCAGGTGGATGAAGAGGAATTGACGAACTGGATACAAAATTCCATGAAATCTTTGGATGATGAAGAGGCGATTGAGAGGATGAAAGAAATCGATGTAGATGGAGATAATAAGGTAAACCTAAATTTCTATACGATAATCTTTACGATCTACAAGACTTGGGACTTGGGCTACTGTAAAATTGGCTAATTGAGCTAAGTTATTTAACTAAAAAAATCTTAAATATTCTTTTTAGCTAAATAACTTTCAAGATATTAGCTCTTAGCACTTTTATTCCGGGTACTGTAATGAAATGACTAAGCATCTAGGGCATTACAATAGTAAAAGCAAAGAAACCGGCTTGTATGCCGTCTTGTTTACAATTAGTATTTCTATCATGCAATCATGATCCTCTAGTCTAATATAATCTAATATACAGGGTGGCTGAAAATTCTGTCCGCATTAGTAGATAAAACTTGTAAAAGTCTAAAGTGTCTTAAATTTTAATGCTTACACAATTTTTTACTCTACGCTGATCATATAATCCTGAAGAGACGAAAGGTATGTTTTCAAAAACGTTTTTACTATTATTTCCTAACGTACCAGTACCGTTTTTCAGTTTAGTCGCGTGTCAAATTTCTATAATTTGTTCTCTAAACCAGTATTGGTTTTCTTTAAAGCAAAGTTTGATAACCTATTTGAAAGGCGAATAATTTTTCTTTAAAGCTATACCTTACATAGGCAGATTGCTTTTGAAATTATCGATTTTGAGAGCCTTAAACATTGTTGGTCGAGCTTAAAAATCGCCGGAATTCTAGGAAGTTGCGACTCGATTGAAAAAAACATTAAAAATGCACTTCAAAAAAGAAAATCCTCTGTAAAACAAACAAACAAATAAAAGGTAAAAAGGTAAAAATAGTAGAATTTTCTAAATTTGAGTTCCATTTTGCTCTATCTTGACAGAGTTTTATCATAAAGACACATCTATTCATATGAACAGTACTTTTCAGCCACCCTGTAGCTTAAATAGCTTAAAATTCTCGTTCTCGGTAACTTTGCACTAGTTTTCACGAAGAGATTTTTAGGTTTCCTGGGACGAGTACGCAGCGGATTCATTTCCGGAGACGGATATCACCAAATTGGATGCCGACGATCGAAAGTTGCTTGATGAGGACAAAAAGTATTTCGCTGTCGCCGATCAGGGTTAGTTTTTGGTAAAGAATTTGTAGTAATTCTAATTATTACTAGGTAACTTAATATTTATAGATGGTGATGGAAAATTGAACGAAGAAGAGTTGAAAGCTTTCCTCAACCCCGAGAACTATCCACATATGCACAAAGTACTCGTTGAGGTACAGCTTTTTGTCTAGATTTTAGAAAGGTCAAATGTATGCGAATTAATATGCAAATTTCTTCCTAGGTGACTCTTTGGGAGAAAGACGGAAATCAAGACGGGGCGATCGATTTGAAAGAATTCTTGGGCGATATGCACGAGCAGCCACAAAGTGAATGGCATGCGGTTAGTTTGAAATGCTAATTTCTTCAAATTTGTAAAGATAAATGCGAATTATAAGCTTTTTCAGGTCGAAAAGGAGCGTTTCGCGAATGAATACGATGCGGATAAAGATGGGGTTTTGAAGGGAGAAGAGATTAGGAAATGGCTTATTCCTGATCTGTATCAAGTGAGTTAGAAAACGATTTTGTTTCAGTTCCGACACGAAATCGGAGTATAATTAGGGATAAAGTATCTGGTTTCAACTCAACCAAACCAAATTACAAGAAAAATCTTTGAGTTTTAAATACTTTCCTTATGATGAACAGGCAATCGAAACAAATTTTATTTGTTACGTCCGAGTCCGATCCAATTTCCGATTCGGATTAGTAGCATGTAGTAGAGCTATAAATAAAGCTATTAGATGTTATAGAGTTATGGATAGTGAACAAGCTATAGCAAATCCTGAAGTATTCCGTTAAAAAGATGAAATGTTTTAGCGTAAATTTGAGCATTTGAAACCGGAAACAATAAATCCACTTCAACTTGCTTTATGTTTATCATTTTTATCGCCAAAGTTTAATCACTATTCGTTGTCTTAAACCGTGGGAACTGGTGCGTCTAATAAATTAACTGGGAACAAGTGATGTTGCTGAGGGATCATTGTAAAGATTTAATTAAAGATCTTATTTCTAACTAATAGGGCTTCAAATTATTTCTTATTTTCTTCATTTTCAAACCAACCCTTTCCTAGGTGGCCGTCCAGGAGGCGAAACATTTGATCGAGGTGGCTGATGGGGACAAAGATGGAAAACTTTCGATTGATGAAATCGTCTCCAATTACAAGACTTTTGTCGGCTCAGAAGCGACGAATTATGGAGAAGATTTGAGGAAATATCATGAAGAGTTGTAGATTTGAAAAGTCACATTTTTCTTCTCCTAACCATCTCAATTCTCTAATTGCCAAGAACTCCATTTCGGGTATTTGTTAGGCATTTTATATGTGAAAAAAAAATGAGAAAAGTTGATCGGAAAAAATATAAAAAATGAAAAATCTATATTTAAAAGTAAGAAATACTTCGAAAACTTCCTGATTTTTTTTTAGAAATTTTTGGTTTTCTATTTGATTTAGTGGAACGGCGCCGCGAAAATTCCTTTTAGACTTAAAAAACTTGAAAAAATACTCCACAAAATTTCTATATAAGCTTAAAAATAATGCTAAAGTAGAGATATTCAGCTAAGGATATTGATAGCTTTGAAAATTCAAAAAGAAAGTTACCATTTACTCAATTTTCGATGATTCAAGAATCAACTTTCGCTAAGAACCTCAAAACTTTCCCCAACTTTGCCTAAAAAAATTTCCTTCAAGTAGCTGAGCAAATATTTTTTACGATTTCCGTGAAATTTTCTAGTTTTCCCCTTTTCTTTTTTTTCGTTTTGTCGAAGAAAAAGCCATGTGAATCATCGATTTCTATAGGAAATGATCAAAAGAATCGCGAGAACTATTGATCCAATCGGGGCTTTTCAGATTTCTTTAAAACTCTACATCAATTTCCCATCAAAAACTGAAAGGATCTTACCGCCTATCTTCTAATAATAATCTTCTAATAATGCTTTCAAGTAATTTCTAGCAAAGTAAAGCATTTTCTAAAAGGTGGGTAATTTGAAAGTTTAGCGTCTTTCTCTTTCTTTCTCTTTCTTTCAAATTTTTTTCGTTCTACTTGATTTTAAAGGAATTTGATTCACAAATTGACTCCTCATCGAATGGAAATAAAAAGCAAGCTTACGGTAGATTTACAAATGATCCATCTTTTAGAAAGCTTATTGTTAGAGGTAGTCATTGTTTCTTTTCTAATCTCTACTATTAAACAGCTGGAAAACTCGTTTTGTGTCCAATGACTCATCCGCATTTTCTTTTCCTTTCTTTTTTTTTTTTCAACTGGACGATCACACTTCGATCAATTGTTTTTGTGGTTAAAGTGGGGAAAAGAAAGGGAAATTCCTTTTCCCCATTCCCCATTTTCCCCTCTTTTCCGTTCCAATCCAATTCTCCATTTTCCAACTTTTTTGTTTTGAAACACTCCAAGAAAACAGTTCACGGAAAGGTAATGGCTTTTTTTCCTTACAAAAACTTTATCGAAGATTTGTTGGATTATATTTTTACCTGAAAGCTTTATTGAAAAGCTCTTCAACTTTTACTGTTCCATCATCAGCTTTTAAATATTCTATGCATAAGTTGAATTGACTCTATCTGAGCATCTAGTTCTTTAATTCAAGTTTTATTTTGTCGACTACAACTACGACTATTTTGTCGTCAATCTACACTTAAGTGGGGTTATTAGAGTTAAAATTTAGCAAATTTAAAACTCTAATCATCACTCCGATTGCCTAAGTTGTGTTGATTGAACAATTACAAGGTCAAATTCAACTTTTCTAAGTGACTCTATGGCAGCCTTTCTTTGGGATCTTGTAGCTGGAATGGGGTTTGACCATATTTTATTGAATTCTGTCAAAATTAGGCATAATCTGTGAAATTTTGTGCCTTTTAACACATTCACGACGATACGGCTCATCGATCGATCGATCGCTTACTGACGAATACGAATTTTGGTTTCAATCAAGTTTTTAAGAATTTTGTTTTTGATTTCGAAGAAAGTTCTCGGTAACTTTGTACTAGTTTCCAAGAGGAGATTCAGAGCTATCGAATCACTATAATAGTTTAGTTTCATTTTGAATTTACACCAAATTATCAGGAAAAAGAGTTAACGACTACGCGACTTTACGTTCAAAATACCGCGAATGTGTTACCAAAGCCGCTTTTGATCAGCTGAAGCCCTTCAACTGATCAAAAGCTTCAACTGATCAAAAGCTTCAGCTGACCAAAAGCTTCAGCTGACCAAAAGCTTCAGCTGATCAGCTTTGGTAAAACATTCTGATTCGGAAAATCTTTCTTTTCTTAAATTCGGATTTCTTCAAAAAAAAAACACGATTCTTGGTTAGGGTTTACTTAAAAAGAATTCAAAATTTCAAAATGAAATACATCTTTTGCTTTTATCTTTTACAAACATTAAACGTCATCAAAATGCCCCTTTCCTTGCACAAAAAAAAGCCGAAATCTCCCCCTCGCCAACCCGATAATTATTTCAAGAAAGTCTATTGATTCTTGATATTTTAAGTAAAATATCTCCAAAATGTTTAAAGATGATCAAAGTTTTAGGTGAAACCCCCCCCGATCAGCTTTTCTTTGACTGAAAATAATTCAAGAATTCCCTCTTTCTAACCTCTGCAAAAATTGGCCAAAATCGTTTCAAAGTGTTGTCATTTTTTTTGTGAAATTTTCTGAATTTTGTGAATTTTTTGACTTTTCTGTCTTTTTGTACCAATTTTTATTTATCCAACTGTCCCAGTTTGAAAATTTTTCTTTTTTTCTTCATCAGACTTGTCTAATTTGTTTAGCTTTAGATTCTTAGAGAGATTTTTTCGTTTTTCTTTTTTTTTTCGTTTTTCTATTATGGGTATGGGAATAAATAAATCTTTCAAAAATTTTGGCAATTCAAATTTTTTTTGGTAAATAACCACAGAAGCTTTCGGCATTGATTGAGCTTTGAGGAAATGTGCTTTTTAAAAAACCCCTTTTTAAAACCCCCTTTTCAAACCCATTTAAACCCATTTGATTTTCTTTTTTCTAAAACTTCTAACTACCGTAACCTCTTTATTCAATTTATATTTATCGATTTTTGATCTAGTTATTGGGTTGATGGAAAAGTCCTTTGGGATTTTTTGGGAGAGCACCTTAAATTTGTCGAATTTTGACGTTTTATAGCTCATCCTAAAGCTGAATTCAAGACGAATCGATTGGTAAAAACCGTTTTGAGATATCTATTTTCTAAAAGTTTCTGAAAATGCGTGTCTAGGGGTTATTTTTGACGCCGATCACGAAACACATGTTTTTAGCCTAGGTTTCTGCACGGAAAACTAACGAAACGTGAAAACAGCCATTTTTTCGCTCTGCCGCCCTTTACTAAAATAGCTGTAAAAACTTTTAGAAAAGAGATATCTCAAAACGGTTTTCACCAATCGATCCGTCTTGAATTCAGCTTTAGGATGAGCTATGAAACGTCAAAATTCGACAAATTTGAGGTACTCTCCCAAAAAATCCGAAAGGACTTTTCCATCAACCCAATACATAAGTATTTAGAAAAGGATACCAAAAGTAGAAAGATTGAAGAAAACTAACCATTCAACGCTTGCTGTTAATGATGTTAATGATCCTTTTCAATATATAAAACAGCATTATCTGTCCGTCCGTCCATCCGCCTGTAAAGGCTTTTTCTCATCCGTCTTTGAGCCAAAAAAGCTGAGACTTTTAAAAAAGTCTCAAAATATATCATATTTGTGTCATTTAAAATGAAAAATTAGAAAGCTAAAGTTGAGTCGAACTAGGGGGAGTCGAACCCAGACCCTGTGAGCAGTAGACTGCGCTACAACGACCATGCGTCATCCTCAAACATCCAGCCACTAAAACTCGCCGTTAGGCGCGTTTTTCGGCTGGTAAAGCTTTAATTTAAAGTATAAATTTAAAGTTCTTCAGTGTCAACTTTAAAGCCAAAGCTTTCAGAAAAAAGATCTTCCGTTTCTGTGCATGAAAATTTTGTGAAGCAAGCTCTGGTGTTGTAAGATATAGAGTTGTTCCAATCACGACCTAGCTTCTGGTCTGGCCATGATAAAATTGCCTTTGAAACAAAGATGATCTAGGACTTCCAAAAACCCTTACCATTCTATTCAACTCAACCCTATACAGAAATGTTCTCAGTTCAGGCAAAGTTCAAAGTTCTCAGTCTCATCCCATCGATCGGCGTTTTCTTGTATCATTTCCTTAAAATCCTTTACAGAATATCTGGTTCATAGAAAAGTTTTGTTCAAAATTCAGAACTTTCCCTATTTTCATGCCTCTTGCCTCCTTCCCAATGTCACTTTTGTGCATTTTCTTGCGTCAATTTCCCCCCTCCATCTTTGACCACTTTCAATTATCGCCCGAAAATTCAAAAAGTGATTCGATTTTTGTGTGGGCGTCAATAATCGCAGAAATATGAATGAGAAAATTGAGCAAAAATTTAGGAGAATTTTTTTCTTGAGCAGGTGGTATTTTGGTATTTTGTCGCATGAAAATGGTTGTGAGTAGGCTGAAAAATCTGAAATTTGAGGGGAGATTGCTTTTTGCATCAATTAACTTCTTCAATTGAGTTGCATATTGCATATTGCAAATTAATGTGAACAATTTACATTGTGTTTAAAGGTTTTGGCATTCTAAATCTTGTTTTAAGCTTGAATCCAATCATTTTACTTGTTTCAAGCTTGAATTCAATCCTTACCAGACAATATTATCCTCTTTTCCCCCTGCAAATTCTTTTCTGGACAATATTTAGCTCTTGTCCGTCATTCAGGGTTTTTGAATGAATGCTCACACTTTGAAGGTCCACAACGTTGTCTAGAGATCGTAGTATTGTGAATTTTTTTTTGTATAGTTTCAGGGAACACTTCAGGCTTTTGAATGGGATGAAATAAAGCTTTATTTGATCAGAAAACACCAGCTAAACTGGGGAATTCGTCGAAAACTGACAAAGAACATTTTTGAAAATCCTTCAGAAAAAACTTGAATCTTAAACAGTAAACCTTTCTTTTTTGCATAATATTTTTAAAAATAAATCCCTTTTCAATTACTTTGAACAATCTTTTTCGAAGAAATCATCAAATTTCAGATGGAGAATCACACGAACTCCGACTCTCACTCGAATTCCCATTCAAATTCCCATTCTGAGCCTGGCCCTCATCAACTACCGCCTCGTTTTGAATGGTTTACTGAGCAAATTGCGGGACATCATCCATCGGTGGTCAAGAATGGAATTCGAGAGATTGGTTAGCAAATTTAAATGCAAATTAAACTCAATTATTTTACCATTTATCAACACATTCATCGAAGTCCCCTAGTTTGAATTGAGTTGACTGTAAAACGATAACAGAATGTTAAGGCTGAACATCTGTACAAGAAGATTTAAGGCTTAAGATTTAAGCGTCTTCCAATAAACAATAAAAACCAATTTTCCTGTTGAAAAACTCGCCTTTCCTCTCTTTTTTTCAAAAGCGAAAAGAGACCCGGAAAGAGCCCCCTTCCCTCCATACCGCTCTTTTCCCCATCCCCGTCCTATGCACGGATGGCCGAGTGGTCTAAGGCGCCAGACTCAAGCGAGAGCTTGCCGCGATGTCAGCGGTTCGGGTCTTCTGGTATCTTCGGATGCGTGGGTTCGAATCCCACTTCGTGCAAATATTTTGCTTTTTTCAGGGAAAATCTTTATTAGTTCAACGATTCCCAAAATCTTTGTAACTTAAATCCACAATGGTTGTAACTTAAAAAGGCCTTTAAAAGTCTCTTCGTGTCCCACCCATTTACAGGTGGTAATCCATTGAACAAACATCTTCGACCTTTTTCTCTCAATAGAGCTAGCCTCGTGACAATCCCTTAGAACAACCTCATATCGGGAAAAGAGGAGGGGATTTCAAGTGTTTTTGGTGAAGGAAAGAATGAGGTGAAGGGAAAGACATTAAAGACAATTAATGTCTTTAATGCTTAAAGACATTCATTGGGGGTTTATCAAAAATATCGCACCCATGGTTGATAAAAAAGGCATGAATGCTAGAGTTTGGTTGGCAAGATTTTTGAGATTTCACGAATAATTGGCTTATTTCTAAAAAGGCCACAAACAGTGCAAGAACTTTTGCGTCACTCTATAGTTGATCTTTCTATATCTTTACGTTTCCTATCTCTAAAGTAGTTAAGGCACTTGTCGTTTATACCTAACATTTGCGTACCATAAAAACAAATCAAATTAGCATAATTATGTGTAGTTCAAGGGTTCTAGATGTTCAAGGAATTGTTCTAGACTAAATTACAATAGATATAGCTAAACTTGAACTACGTAAAACAGTAGTTTGATGCTAATTGAGTTGGTCAATAAGGCTTGTAGGGGTATAACCGGCAAGTACCGTAGTTAATGTTACAGTAGCCTTTATAGTATCAACTACAAAACTCGGTTTACTGTAAAATTAACTAATCGGCTTAGGTTTACAGTAGTAGATCAGGCTTTAAAAGTTCTTAAGTTGAGGTTCGGAAAAGTTTACAAGCTCAGAGAAACTTTAAATCTTACCATATTCAATTGTTTTCCATATTGATGGAGTAACTTATAGTTGAAAACCTGGCTACGGTAGCTCATAGCTAAAAGTATGGATACGGTAGCTTATAACTGAAATCCTGGCTACGGTAGCTTATAGCTAAAAGCATGGATACGGTAACATAAGGTAAATATCTTTTCCTAGCTTTCCCAATTGAAAATCCGATGATTGTTGTGCTTTGTGAATGACTGCCTTCACCTCATTCATCACCATTCAATGATCTCTTTTCCTTTTTACTCAGCTGTGCCAATAAACGGTGAAAAATTCTCACTCAATGGGCCATTCATTCGAGTAAACATGGGGAGTGCCAGCGGGTGAATTCGAACAGAAAACCGGCTTGAAACTTGGCAAACTTTGAAACACCTAGTGTTTATTTTGAGGGGATTTTTAGTTAAATGAAAAATTAGCGTGATGTTAATGTAAAATTACGTTTTTTAGGTTTCCTGAAAGAGAAAGGCTCCAACTACATTCTCAAATTGCGACAGGATGGGAAACGAGGAGATTGTGAGGTGAGTGATTGAAAAAAGTCAACTGAAATGATCCACTTTTGAGCAAAAAGTCAATTCAACCAGCTCAAACTGAATCACAAATCCCCAAGCTTCACGCATTTCGTGCTTTAGTCAACAGCACATTTTGCAAACTTGATTTTTAATGTGTTCCAGCATTTGGCTTTATAAACTTTGTAAGCTTTGGGTTGCTTTGTAAACCCTTTCTACTTGGCACACTTGCTTTTTAAAGTGTTCCAGTCGTCGAGCCTTTGTAGAAGTACAAAGTACAAGTCAAGTTTTGTTGCTTGCTGGTTGCTGAAATGGTGTACTGGTTAGACTCAAGAGATCAGATAACTTATCGATTTTTCTGCAGCTTTCAAACTTTTTAATTCAAAATCTTTGCTATTTGGATGAACTGATTAATTGATTCAAATCGATTTCCCAAAGCAAAGCCATCATAACATTTTCCCACCGTGGTGACCCTAAACCTTTTTTGAGGCTAATGAACGGTAATTGAGTTGTGATGCAACGTTTTTTTCTTCTCTTTTCAGATCTATCCTTTTGCTTACCGTATCCCAATATTGCGAGGGGATCTAATTGTCAGTTTTGTGGGAAATTTTCATTAGAAAATCGCTTTGCAAGGTTTTCATTTCAAAATCGCCGCCATTGCGTCACTCATTTGATTGATTTGGTGGGGTTAAGTGGCTTATACCCGTATTGGAACCGTATCGGATCAGAATAGGAATCTTCTTGAAACGTATTGGAATCGTATTGGATCAGAATAGGAACCTTATTGAACCTTATTGACCCCTATTGAAACCGTATTGGAACCAAGCAAAATGAAATTACTGCCGAATAATTGAGTCATTAGAAAAAGGTGAATAAGAAAACGCTTTGTCGTGCAATTGCGTTCATTTAAAGCTCATTTATACCTATCGTATTTGATTTGAAACCCTCTAAAAACTAAGCACAAGTACAACCATTTTCCAAGCATTTAAATGCTACTGAATGGCAGACTTGCTATCGGTCAAGTTAGTTTATCTTGTACAATTCGATAGATTTGCTTGGTTAGTGTAGAATAGAAAGCTGAATCATAGTACCTTTTAAGCTTTTAAGTACACAGATAAGCTCAATCATAGTATTAGGTTGATGCAAAAGTCTTTTTCATTTTTTCGTACTTCTTTTGAAAAATAACAAAGTCATCAATTAACCTATGGTTTACTCTAAATGAAAAGTGTTTATTGTTCAATTTCCCATCTTTTTAAATCAATTTGGGTTCACTTTCAAGCAAATTCGAGAGTGAAAAAGGGTTTTTCATAAAAATCTATAAAAACCTCTATAAAGAAATTGGCTGAATCAATTTCTCTGAAAATCTGAAAAAATATCTAACTTTTTGTGCTCTATCTTTTATTTATTAACATCAAGATTGGTTTCCTTAGCTAAAGCGTCTAAAATGCATCATCGAGCCGTCGCCTTTTTTGACTACCCGACTTCAGGCTCTCAAAAAAATCTAGACATAAGACATTTTAAACTCGTTTTAATGTCATTTTGCAGAAAAATAATTGGCCTTTCGAATGCAATAAACCGTTGTTCAATTGGTGCATTTGTTACTTTTTAACGGAAGTACGAAAAAAATGAAAAAGACTTCTGCATCAACCTAATACTTTTATGTACAATTTTTCTACCGTAACCCATTTTCTATTTTCCAACTAACCAGGCAAATCTATCGAATTTTACTTGCAAACTCTTTGATCTTTGATTGATTTAACGGCTCACTGTCAATTTCTTTGATCTCCATTCGCTTTTGATTTCTGTCATTCAAATTCCCGAAACCCTTCCCTTCAAATTTAATCCCAAATCTCTACCGTAATTGATCCCGTTTTCTCTTTTTTGATCAATCAACCGGAATCAAGAGTTTTTCTAGTATCGGTCAAGGGCAATTCATCCAAAATAAAGGAATCGCTTATCGAGATTGCGCAATTTTGTTTATATCGAGTGAGCAGATCGTAAATTCTGAGTGACCATGAAATTTTAATTAAAAACCCCTTTGTAGGGGTCGTAAAGTCGAGGTTAAGGGAACTTTTTCGAAACTAGAACTTATTGTAGTAGTGTTCGAAGTCGATTTTGATTGTACTTTGTGCTTAAAGATGTAAACACATGCTTTCTGGCATATCTAATAAAAGCAATCGTTCCAATTTGCTCCTCCATAAGTCTTTCAAATTTTTGTGAAAAATTGAAGGATTTAGTGCGCCAGGAAAGGTGCTTTTATTCTAAAAATGCCTTGAATAGAAAGCTACAGTAATCCCGTAGGTCTAAAGCTACAGTAATCCCGTAGTTCTAAAGCTACAGTAATCCCGTAGTTCTTGAAAGACTGCTTTAATGTACTGGGTAACTGTAATCTCTTAGTTAAAGCTTTTCTAGAAAATGCTTTTGAGAAATCTCGTTTAAACAGAAACACAGGAGAAGCCCGTAGTTCTAAAGCTACACTAAGCCCGTAGTTCTAAAGAACGGTTCACGGTAGCTTTACCCGCTTTACAAGAATACAAACCTCTTGTGGATGAGATTTCAATTAATGCCTGTTTTACTAAATGACTGGAGTACTGTAGCTTTATCTGACCTGAGCTATCTGAGATCTGATCTTTATCTGAGCTTTTAAAAAGCTTTACCTAGCACAGCTCTAATGTGGCTCGGAATTAGAGACACCGATCCAATACAAAACAAACAAAAAAAGACAAATTCTGGGAATACGAAAAGTCGACACCGGGATCCGAACCTGCAACCTCTCGCTTAACGAGCGAACGCTTTACCAACGAGCTACACAGGGACCTGCCGTTTGCCGCCAGGCTAGGGTCTTAGCCCTTACTTGAGATTTTCAAACGTCTACTCTAATCAGTTGATCTAATCTTGACCACCGACTTATCAAAAGTGAAAATGTCTTGCATGCAATGCAATGAGGAGTGAAAAGTGTTGCGTAACTGACACGAGACACCTAAAGTTCTTGAGGGCACAAATATAGACAAAAGAAACGGAAGTTATATTTGTGAGTAGGGTTGTGATGCAAATGATGTCCTCTCTCTCTCCCTCTCTCTTGTCCTATCCCTTCAGGTCATTTATCCACACTGATCTCATTGAATGGATTGGGCAAATGAACCGGAAATGACACTTTCGATCACTGAAGGGCAATTGCGCAATGAGGGGATTGGAGGGGAGAAGTTTAGGGAAAAGTTGGGGACTGAGGAATAAAATTTAAGGATTAAATCTGTGTTTTAGTTAGGAGAAATGGCTCAAAAGCTTGTTTCAGCTTCGAGAGAAATGCCGAAAATTGATTTTATATTGAATTTTATAGATTTGAATCATTTATGATGATTTACCTTTCGATTTCAGATTCGTTTCTATCAACTCCTCAATCGAACATTCGCTGATGATTACGATCCCGAGGACGATATTGGAGAACCATTTCCGAGCAATTGGTAAATCTTTTGTTTACTTTAAAGTAAAGATATTAGTTTTAAGCGATTTAGCTAACACTTGGATAGTTTGAAATTGATTTAAAGTTATGTTTTTAGATTAATATCGAAATAATCTCTATTTTAGCTTTCCTTTAATCGTTTAGCCATATTTGGCTAATAAATCTTTGAAATATTTTTTATAAATCTGTTTAAACTAACTCGGGAATCGCTCAGGCTAGCTTTGGTGAAGGCTTAGCGTTCAAGGCTGTTGAAAAAGAAAGGTAGTAAAGTAGAAATGAGACTAGAGGGGTACGGTGGCTCTACAGCTTGACAATGGTGACTTCAAATAGGCTTTTATAAAAATCCACAACGACAACGATATCTGAAAAGATTTTATGTACCCTAAATCTATAATCAGAATAGTGATAACTTCAAAACTCAAAGTTCTAAAGCGGCTAGACGATTAAGATTGAATCTGAATCGGCTACGACATAAGTAGAAATGAAAAGTTCACTAATTGATCTAGTTTCCTTCAAGTCGATGTTTATTATACGTTTTTCTATCTTTTTACTCTGATCTGAGCCCGTTTCCAAGAAAATTCGAACAAAAAAACTCGTTTTGCGGTAAAATTCGATAAACTGGCTGAAAAAATTTGAAAATTTAGCTATAAACCTAACTTTTTGGAGCTCTTTCCTCTCTATCGACATTAAAATCGGTTTCTTTAAACCAAAGTCTCTAAATCGAGTTGCTTTTTTGACTGTTCGAATTACATTGCAAAAAAAAAGCCAGAAACAAAAGATTTCTTAAAATTTCAATGATCTTTTACAGAAAACTCTGAAAAAATAAAATAGAAGCATTCAAAAATTGATAAATAGATGTGCTTTGATTTATTTATAGTTAGATAATTTACTTTGTTTCATGAATTTGCATTTTAAGTGTGACAACACGAGACGAGATCAACATGACTCGTTTCATCGCCGACGGCGGAGTGCCGCGGTTTCATGGATTGAAGCGGGTGCCCATTGATGGAAAAGAAGAGGTTTTTTAGATATTAGATGTAGAAAATTAAGCTTACAATGTTTTTTGTGATTTCTCAACTTTTCAGGAGTTTTTGATCCTTGACGATTTGACGTGTCCATTCTCTCGGCCGGCAATCATGGACGTGAAAATGGGTCGGGTCACCTATGATCCGGATGCGAGTGATAAAAAGGTAAAGAGATATAGAAAATCATTATAGAATCACTATAGAATCACGATAGAATCACTTTAGAATCACTTTAGAATCACTATAGAATCACTATAGAATCACGATAGAATCACGATAGAATCACTATAGAATCCCTATAGAATCACTATAGAATCACTATAGAATCACAATAGAATCACGATAGAATCACTATAGAATCCCTGTAGAATCACTATAGAATCACAATAGAATCACTATAGAATCACGATAGAATCACGATAGAATCACTATAGAATTATAGAATCACTATAGAATCCCTGTAGAATCACTATAGAATTATAGAATCACTATAGAATCACTATAGAATCACAATAGAATCACTATAGAATCACGATAGAATCACTATAGAATCACTATAGAATCACTATAGAATCACTATAGAAGCCTTATAGAATCACTATAGAATCCCTGTAGAATCACTCTTAAAGGGACTCTTATTTTTATTTGTTATTTATGAACTAAGGTGTCTGCCGATCAATGCCGTTTTCTAAAGAAAAGTTCAAAGATTTTCGGGATTTAAAATTGACTTCTAGCAATAAATCTAACAAATAAAGCGGAAATCAATGAATTTCCTCGAAAAAAATCCTCCCTTTTAAGTAAAATATACTTTAAAAAAGCTCAAAGTTTCATTCATTCAGGTCAAATCCGAAACGGAAAAGTACCCGCCGCAGAAATCGCTCGGTTTTCGGCTTCTTGGATACAGGGTCAGTGAAAGATACGGTAAAAGTTACAGTAGGTTTTATTAGACAACTAAATGTTATGATAAAGTTTCAATTTCTACAGTATTTTCGTTAGATTGATAAGTGAAAGTGAACTGGCTGAGCCAAATGCTAAGCAAGCTATACCATTCGACGGAGAATTTTATTCTGATTCCGAATATATATTCCGTTTTTGCTAAATAACAATCTACCAGGAGTTATAAGTGTCTAAAGTTTTGTTGGACCTGTTAGGAAGTGTTAGGAAGTAGGACGTGTTAGGAAAATGTGGTCGTTTGGATCTTGGTGACCTCCAGGGCAGCTGTGGTACTGGTACAGCGTTCGTTTCCAGAGCAGACCAGACCAGAGCTTTCCAAGTACGATCCCGACTCTGGCTTTTCCCTCTGATTCTTTTAAGAAGTGTTAAATAGTGTTCTTTGTTCGTGCGCACAATCGTATTCCATCTGGCACGCTTTCCATATATATATTTTTCCAAAAAAACTTCTTTTTAGAAAGCTATTCACTTGGAAAACTGAACATTCTTGTTTGGGATACTTTAGTGAAGCAGGAGCAACTTTAAAGAAGTAGATAAATATAAGGAAATCACTTCCAGATCCACAAAGAGGACGGATCGGTGGAGATTCAGGATAAAGATTGGGGGAAAAGCAAAGATGAGACAAATATCGGACAAGCACTCCTCGAATATTTCACCATTCGACCGGACGCTGTGGCGCTGATCCTGAGAAAGTGATGAAAATATGTAAACTTTTCAAATCAAATTCTCAGGGCCACCCTTTTCCGTGAATGGTTTGCTCAACAGCGTCTCTTTCATTTCTATGCTTCGTCTCTTCTTTTCATTTTTGAGACCGATCCAACGAAACCGGTGAATGCAGATGTCAGAATGATTGGTGAGTTAAAGAAAAAGACTCAAATAATACATTACTACAGTAAACTATATTAAAACAGTTACACTACAATAAACGAAACAATAAATCAAATAAGTTAGTAGAAAAAGCTGATTTGTAGAGTAAGTAGGTGATCTTGTATTCGGAAAAACAATTTGAATACAGGCTTAAAAGCAGAATGATCCAATCCTAGGCCTGGCTTGATTTCTGACTTGTTTAAATACTTTTAGATACCGTAAATACTGTAATAGTACCCCACCGCCCTCGTACAGTCGCGTAGTCGCAAAAGTTTTTTTAGTATTTCATTTTTTTCAAAGCGCTCGTACTTTCAAAAAATGAATCTTTGGTATCAAAAAATAGCCCTGAATTTCAGCTATTTTTTGATACCTAAGCGAGCATTGTAGCATAAACCAGTGTCGAGAAAAACGCGTGCAAAGCTAGACTACGCTCCGCTCCGCACCGTCATTATGGGGGTGGGGTACTATTACAGTATTTACGGTAGATAAAGTCAAATTGATTTCTCTTTATCGATCAAAGTCATCAAACGAGTTTTCAACGAGCTTCAGATGAGCTTCAGAGTTTTTAAAACAAGACCAAGACTCTGTAAGTTGAGATCAGGCTTCTGGCTTCTGGCTGACTATTTTCGTTTGTCAAGTCACCCAGTTTGATTTATCTTAACTACTCATGAATCCAGCTTGTATCTGGCTGTCTTGTGACCAGGACAAGACCAAGACAGGCTCAGCTTAGGCTCAGGCTCGGCTTAGGCTCAGGCTCAGCTTAGGCTCAGGCTCAGCTTAGGCTCAGGCTCAGCTTAGGCTCAGGCTCAGCTTAGGCTCAGGCTCAGCTTAGGCTCAGGCTCAGCTTAGGCTCAGGCTCAGCTTAGGCTCAGGACCAAGACAGCCTCAGCCAGGTTAGAGGCTGATCTCTTTGAAGATTTGAAAGTCTCTTGAAAGTTTGTTAGCTACGCAGATCAATAATAGTTAGCTAGATCGAAAAGTTTTCAGAAAACAAATGCTTGCTAACTTTCAGATTTCGGTCATGTTTACCCGGGAAATGAGCAACTCGACGATAATTACACGCACGGATTAGACAATTTGATCTCACTTCTCGAGGAGATGCTCTTAAAAACTTAATTAGTTTTTTTAGCAATTGAAATTGAGCAATTGCCAGAGATTTCTAATGAAAAAGAGATGCCAAAGCTGATTATTTTCAATTTCAAAAGAGTGATTCTTGATTTTATTTTTGTGTTTTGTGCCTTTTTGATGTAATTTTTTGGAATTTTATGCTAATGATTTGTTGATTTTATTGTGATCTCTTTTCTCTCTCACTTCTACTTGCCAAAATATATCAGCAGAAAATGCAAAGAATTGCGATTTTTACGAAAAAACGAGAAATTTGAGTGATTTGATGTGTTGTGTATGATTGTTCACTTAAAAAAAAAGACTTTCGTTTCTTCTTAACTTCTAGATTTCTAACGTTCTCTTTTATTCTTTTTATTCTTTTTATTGTATTTTGTAGTATTTTGAAAAGTTTATATAAAAATAAAGTTGTTTAAAGTAGTTTTTTTCTCATTCTCGATCCGCTAACTGTAAAGAAAAAAAAATTTAAAAAAGAAAATTTGAAAAATTGGAACTTAAATCGAATGAAAATTGAGTAGAATTGATAAAATTAAATTGAAAGAGGACAATTTCGAGTAATTTAGACGACGATCAAGGTGCACAACTATTAAGTACAATAAACTGTATAAATAAAACTGCCTACGGCGGGTTTTCCCGCTCGTGGTTTATCAGAACATCGATAGCTTTTTTTAAATTATTAGCTTTAGATTCATCTTTTAGAAAACATTAGACTTAAGCTAGCATCACTTTTTGCTAAAGAAAAACCGACCATAACGGCTAAACAAGCCGTCTCAATTGCTGTCGTGCATTGTGGGTGATCGCTGTACTCGAAGCGACGATTCAATTTGCAAAAACTAAACAAGATTCTTTCGAATTTCAAAAGTTCTCACAAAAGCTCTCACTTTTCATCGCACTTCTCCTTTTCAACACTCAATGTCAGATAGCATTGATCGTGGATGAAACAAGAGGCGTCAAGAGCAGCTGAACCAGGATTTAAAAGAGTTTAAATGTAGATTTTAGATACCGTATTTTCTCTAATAGTAGTGCACCCGGGCGAGCCGAGTTGGTGACGATTTTACGGTTTCCAAGCTTTTGCAGAAGCTCAACACTCAAATCCCCCAAAAGATCTCATCGTCAGCTACATTTTCCGACCCCACATCAATAGGTTTTGATAAGCGGTTCTCGAGATTTCGAGTAATTTAGGCAAAGCTTTGGATGCACTACTATTAGAGAGAATACGGTATCTGATTTATGACTTAGAATTCAAGAGCTTGATTTTGCTTCAAGATAGATATCTATTGAATTTCTTGAAGCTAAAGCTATTCTCTTACTCTAGAAGTAGTTGTTGCCCTGACAATGTGTCAATTAAAGAAACAAATTGCTTGATTTGGAGACGTTTCGCAACAGTTGCTTTTGAAGGTGCACTACTATTAGAGAGAATACGGTAATATACAATAAACTGTATAAATAAAACTGCCTACGGCGGGTTTTCCCGCTCGTGGTTCATCAGAACATCGATAGGTTTTGATAAGCGGTTCTCGAGATTTCGAGTAATTTAGACGACGATCAAGGTGCACTACTATTAGAGAGAATACGGTATTTCTCTAACCACCCTGCTATTGATAATCGAAAACAGTAAACACCTACTCATTTTTTAATAATTAAATCAACAGTATTTAGCTTTACTGACACATGAGAGCTGAATTTAACGACTACGGAATGCTACTAATGCTAATAGAATTAAAAGTTTGAACTTAAACTCTGAAATACTTTCAACACGCCTCTGACATGTGAGCATTTTCGTTCCGTGAGCCATTTTGCGAAGCTGCCCGAGCCCACGTAACGCTCCGATCCACAACTGAACACATTATCGCCTTTCTGAAATGCTTGTTTCCTTTATTTCAGCTGAAATTCTTTATGAAATCTATTCAACCAAAATTATACAAAATGATCCGCTTTAAAATTGTTTCTTGACATTCTACACCATTACAAGTGTTACTTTGAGTTTTAGCATCATCGTTTCGTGTTATTTTGAAGCCCGAGAAAAACTCACCAATTTCTTGAAGTCGTTAACAAGCTCGTATCCTAAAAACAAGAGCTTTTTTTTCTAAATCTTTCAGCCAAAACATTGCCCACTTTTCTTGCAATCGGTGATTAAATTGGTGAATGCTTTGCCGATGGCTGGATACTGGAAATTGAATTGAATTGAATTGAATTGAATTGAATTGAATTGAATATGGATAGAATTTCTCCTTATTCCTTACCATTTCCACTTTAAAGAGTGAACAGAAATCGGGATGTGTGTTGTTGCAACCGAAAAATGACATTCTTTTTGGATTTCAATTAGATTTGACATTGTGACAATGAACTTTTTGGGCCAAGCTAGAAATCTAGGCACCGACTTGGTTTTGGGTGGTCTGACCTGGCTTGGCTGCAGTCCAATCCACAAAACGTCTCTGATCCGCCACGTTTTGTGAATCGGAATGAAATTAGGACCAAACCAAAAGGCAGGTCTAGACTTGGCTTCTGGTTTAGTCCTAGTTTGATCTGGCCAATCTTTTGTCGACAAAGCTTGCCTCTTGTGTACTTACAGACCTTGTTGTAAAGCCTGGAAGTTGTAGATATAATACAGGTTGAGATAAAGATGGTATACAGGGTGGCTGAAAATTACGTGCGCGCAGCATCTGACATAGTTTTAAACAATGTATAAAGCATTACTACCCATCTTTTTGTGTTTTAATATTCTTTTTATCGTTTTCTATTATGTTTCTATTACATTTTGTGTTAAAAAAAAGTTGTTTTCTAGGTTGTTGTTTCTACAAAGACATGCGCTAGTCGGGACGCAATCGCAATGCGCGTATATAAGACCATTTTACCCATTTTTTTTTTCATTTTAATTGCGCGGAATGGGATTGTTTTATTTTGTAAATTTATTTTTTTGTTTTTCTAATTGTAAGGTTCTTTACTTATTTACTTATTTACTAAAAATATGAAGATTAACGCAAAAGTCTATCAAAAAGAGATCCTCGAGAAAGCTGTGGTGCCGTGGAAGAGGAGCCATCCCAATTTGACCCTTCAACAAGATTGAGCGCCGGCCCACAGAGCCAAAACAACAATTCGCTTTCTCGAAACCAAAATTGGTTCTTTTTTGACGAAGGATCAATGGCCTGCAAACAGCCCGGATCTCAATCTGTTGGGCTTTTTGGTTTGGGGTTTTATGGAAGAACAATTAAGAAATTGGAAAATCAAGAATTTGCATGATTTACGTCGAGAATTGATCAAAATCTGGAACGACTTAGATGCAAATTTTCTCCGCCGCACCGTCGATTCTGTAAGTTGTTTTCTAGGTCATGACAAAGAAAAAGACAAAGACGGCGGAGATGTGCGCTAGTCGGGACGCAATCGCACATCTCCGCCGCACTGTCGATTCTGTAAAGAAGCGATTTGAAGCCTGTATCAAAGCGGAGGGAGGCCAAAATTTCTTGTAATTATCAAATGCTTTTGTTACAACTATTATATAAATAAATATTTTTACATGTTCTTTTAACATGTTCATTAAATTAGAAAATTAAAGAAGGCGTTTTCTTTGGCGCACGTAATTTTCAGCCACCGTGTATTTAGAAAAAGGTCTGTTAAAAATGATTAAAATGTTAAAAATGAAGCAAAAAGACAGCTGGAATACGTTCGCTTTTTCAGAGTACTTTTCAGAGAATGGCTAAGCTACAAATTGACGATTGAAATTGCATACCATCACTTCCGTGACACGGTTTCCCTTAAAACAAACATTTTTTGCATTAAGAAACAGACATTTAAGCTTACCAATGCTCGGAGAAATTTGAACCAATAAAGCTGACTCAGTGACATTTGTGGCTAAATTAAATTTGAACATAAATTTTCACATTTATAAACATACATGACTGCTGAAACGATTCTTCACTCCTGATTTCCACTGTCTAAAGTAAACTTTCTGGTTCTAAGCCTCAAAGATACTCAAAAAAAGAAACACAGCCTTTCTAGGGCACTTAATTCTTCAAATTCTTAATTTCTTGCAAGTTTGAATCATTGCTGAAAGGAAATTGAAGGATTCGTTCACCAGAAAAGATTTATTCTTAAGATTTTTATTCTTAAGATTAAGATTCCAATTTTTGAATAACTTTATCGAGATTCCATTAGCCGATTTGATTAAAAGAAATATTGATAGGAGTAAATATTTCATTTGTTGAAGATAAAAATGATTTGATTGTCTCTGCCTCAATTCAAACAACCTTTCCTCTCAGTCTAAACAAAATGAAACAAAAATTATGAAAGAATAGAAAAAAATCTGAAAATGTGCGCAAAATTGTGATTCATCATTGTTTGATTTAACGTAAATGTGGCTTTGTTTTCACCGAAATTTGATTTTTATTGGATTGGTGAATTGAAAACTGTGGGCTATTGTCATATGTGACAGTTTGAGCACTTTCTTCAAAAGAAACCCATTTTGGTATCAATGGAAAAGTTGTAGAGAATCAAAAATGAGGCTTATAGCCAAATTTCCAAAAAGATACACTCAGTAGTTTCGCTTAAAATGCAAGTTTTGTGAAAATTCGTAAATTTGGCATTTCTTGAAAACTAGTTTTTGAATCGTTCTGAAAATTTGGATATAAGCTTGTTTTTTGATTCTCTACAACTTTTCCATTGACACCAAAATGGGTTTCTTTTGAAGAAAGTGTGAGAACTGTCACATATGACAATAGCCGGCAGTTTTCAATTCACCAACCCAATAGATTGAGATTAGCCTTGATTTGCGGAGAAGTCAATGTCCAATTTAAGGATTAGGAGCTGACCAGATTAATTTCACAAAGCTAATTAATTAACCCGCAGTTTTCAATTCACCAACCCAATATTTTATCTATTGATTTGTCGTATAAGGTTAAATTCAACGCGAAAGATGAAGTTGAAGTGGGCAAAGAAATGTTTAGACTCAAATCTACCACGATTGCTATATCAATATCGAGGCTCAAGGATCTCTACCATTCATTTATTGTCATATGTGGCTATTGTCATATGTGACAGTTCTCACACTTTCTTCAAAAGAAACCCATTTTGGTGTCAATGGAAAAGTTGTAGAGAATCAAAAATTAGGCTTATAGCGAAATTTCCAAAAAGATTCACTTAGTTTAAAATTTGTGTGTTCTTTGTGCGGTCGCGTAATCGCTCGTCGTCTGGCGCAGGGCTTTTACATAAGTCCCTTCCCTCTCGTTTTGGGAAATTAATCTGGCCACCTCCTAATCCTTAAATTGCACATTGACCTCTCAGCAAATCAAGACTGATCTCAATCTATTGGGTTGATGAGTTGAAAACTGCCGGATATTGTGATATGTGACATTTTGAGCACTTTCCTCAAAAGAATCCGATTTTGGTGTCAATTGAAAAGTTGTAGAGAATCAAAAATCAAGCTTATATCCAACTTTTCAGAACGACTCAAAAACTGGTTTTCAAGAAATGGGAAATTTACGAATTCGAAAACGAAATTCACAAAACTTGCATTTTAAGCGAAACTACTATGTGTATCTTTTTGGAAATTTGGCTATAAGCCTAATTTTTGATTCTCTACAACTTTTCTATTGACACGAAGATGGGTTTCTTTTGAAGAAAGTGCTCAAACTGGGATATCTCCAGTCCTCCTTTTTTTGAGTCTCACACTTGTCTCACACACAAACGAAAATCCTACTACGAAAGAGGAATCCGCAAATTGCCTGTAAAATGGGCAGAAGTCGTCAATAATAATGGAAATTATTTCGAATGAATTCATGGTTTTATGTTCAGTAAATTTTAGTTCAAAGTCCGGCAGTTTTCAATTCACCAACCCAATAGGTTTAATTTTTTTCTTGTTAAAGTTGATCTTCAAATTTATGAAGTAAAAATGATTGTAACAGTTTAAAAAAGGTAATAAGAATTGAGGAATAGTTGGAGCAATTGAATTATTTGATAAGTTGACAATAGTTCTATTTCTTTAGATGTTGAATAGTGGCTTCGCTGTAGCTTACTGCTGAAATCGTTTCGGTAGCTTCAATCGGTCATTGCTCTTTTCATAGTTGAATGTCTCTCGAAAGAATGAATGCAGTGATGCATGTTGAAAGTTGAATGTTGAAAGAATGCAGTGATGATTGCGGGGAAAAGTTTTATAAGAAATGGAGTGCAAAGTTTTTAACTAGCTGAAGATAACGATAGAAAGTAGAAGATAAAGAATAAGATAAAAGAAGACAAAATAAAGAAGTGATCGTCAAGATGGTGATCAGAATGAAAGCAATTAGCAAAACTCAGAATTTACGTTTCTATTGGCTAACTTTCTAAAAGCTAGATAGCATTTTTAAATCGTTGTCAAAAAGTCAATTTTAGCATTCCAATTGTATTGCAAACTGCAAAAAAAGGCTGGTCAATTTTTGTTGATGGGAAGGCGGCACCATGAGAAATAGATAACCCATCAACTCCGGACCATTGGAAATTATGAAAAATTAGAGATATTTTATACCCAGATGTTTTGTTGCATGCCAGAAAGGGTGTGAATGAGTCATGGAATGGAAATGAACAGGTCAATGACATTTTAAGGGAAACGTTTTTTGGGTGTTCTTTTTTCTCCGAGAGACTGATGGGAAAAAGATCTCTGATCAAAGAACACTGAAATCTCTTTGTGCGTTCTCTCCATCCCATTCAATGACTCATTCATTCACTTTCTGGTAGACGGAGATACATCTAGCTATATAATTTTCTCCAAATCTCTTTCTATAAGCAATGGTCCGTAGTTAGTGGGTTATCACTTAAAATGAATCCCCCCACAGCGATCCTAGACCCTGCTTTTTGAGGTTTGAACAGAATATCTTTTATTTTGATTGCTTTTGGATTACTGTACTTTTCCAAACAAACCCAATACTGTGGCCCAAAGAAGCCCTCATTTGTGAGATTGATTCCATAAAGACGGCGAATCTCGGCTCCTCGATTGCCAAGGCGTTCGAGATTTGGCTGAAAAAGCTATGTATTGCCCATCAATTATTAGCAAAATAAATCTATTTACATTTAGAAATATTTTGAATTATTATGTTTTTTCTAAAATGTGTTAACTTTCGAAAACTACCTTGAGCTTTTATCCAATTCATTTATATTGTTTTTTGATATCAGCTATAGAAAGTTATAGAAATTTTGACGTGTTTTGAAGTATCAAAACCCTCAAATCTAATTAGATCTTTGCAAAAAGCAAAAGCATAGTCAAGTGGGTGTTGACGGATAAATTTTTTTCGGTAACCCGCCAACTCCGGACCAGTGCTCTTTTACCACCCTTCTTGCATCACTTATATGTCCCATTCTTTTCCCATTTGCCAGAGAGTGCACGATTGAGAGAGAACACAAAGAACGCTGTTCGTTTTCCCCTTTTGAACGAATTGCACAAGACTTGTGCGTTCTCTCCATTCTCTCAATGACTCATTCATTCACTTTCTGGCAGACGGAGATACATCCAGCTATATAATTTTCCCCAAATCTCTTTCTATAAGCAATGGTCCGTAGTTAGTGGGTTATCACTTGAAATGAATCCCCCCACAGCAATCCTAGACCCTGCTTTTTGAGGTTTGAACAGAATATCTTTTATTTTGATTGCTTTTGGATTACTGTACTTTTCACAACAAACTCAATACTGTAGCCTAAAGAAGCTCTCATTTGTGAGACTCACTCTATACAATCAATTGCACTCACCTCCTCCTTCTTCCCCACGAATTGAAACGCCCTACCCCGCCGCCCATTTGTCCTCTTCCTGCATTTCTCCAATTCTGTTGTTGCCTTTATTGTGCTCCACCGGCTCCTAGAGATTTGAAAAACAATTTGACGATTACAATTGTGTTGAAGTTGAAGTGGAAACTCGAGATGATGGATAGACCGATTATACCGCATAAATCGATCCATCGAATGCCGTTGGAGTCCTGAAATTTGCAAATCTTTACGGTTTTATACAAAAAAATTGTTGGGTAATGTTTGTAATGTGGCAAAACTACCGTAATCTTACAATTAGTACCACATTTTCTTGGCTGGCCTTACTGTAGATTCAACAATACCATGTATCCCTTAAAAGCCTTTTCTAAAACGTGTTAACTTTCAAAAACTACCTTTAACTTTTATTCAATTCATTTACATTTGTTTTTTAATATCAGCTATAGAAAGTTATAGAAATTTTGACGTGTTTTGAAGTACCAAAATCACAAATCTAATTAGATCTTTGCAAAAAGCAAAAGCATAGTCAAGTGAGTGTTGACGGATAAATTTTTCATGTTTGGTAACCCGCCAACTCCGGACCAGTGCTCTTTTACTTGACTTCTTTCATCACTTATATGCCTCACTCTTTTCCCATTTGCCAGAGAGTGCGCGATTGAGAGAGAACACAAAGAACGCCGTTTGTTTTCCCCTTTTGAACGAATTGCACAAGACTTGTGCGTTCTCTCCATTCTCTCAATGACTCATTCATTCACTTTCTGGCAGACGGAGATACATCTAGCTATATAATTTTCCCCAAATCTTTTTCTATAAGCAATGGTCCGTAGTTAGTGGGTTATCACTTGAAATGAATCCCCCCACAGCGATCCTAGACCCTGCTTTTTGAGGTTTAAACAAAAAGAATATCTTTTGTTCTTTTGTTTTGATTACTTTTAGATATACTGTACTTTTTCTAACAAACCCAATGACTCAAAGAAGCCTTTATTTGTAAAGTCGATCCCATAAAGATGTCCAATTTCTACCCCTCGATTCTCAAGGCGTTTAGTATTTGTCTTTAAAAAGTTAGCAGCCATTTCTATGCATATGGATATGAAAAATTCCCAATTTACCTTTAGGAATAACTTCCCACAAAACTGTGCCCTAAAGTGCACTAATCGTTGATTGACAAGCGTCATTTGTTGTGACGTGTAGTCGTCATTTTCATTATTTTGTTCCAGAACTCTGCTAAATTGATCTCGATGATTTGTGTTGTTAGAATAGATTAGACTAAATTTGTAGTAGTTGTAGTAGTTGTAGATTAAAGTAATCTCAAAAAATCGAGTACAAATTGCACAAATTGACTTTCCTGCTTTCCGTTTTGTTGTGTGTTAAATTCTTGACTTTTTATACTGTGATAACCTTTTTTTTTTTTTTAGATCCCTTCTCGAATCGATGGGGATCGTTTCAATGGTGGCTGATGGGGTGGGTGCCCGCGAGGATGGTGTCCGATTACTTTTGACTGTGCTGGCTGGGTTAGTTTTTTTAAATTTATCAGTTTCAAAAGAGGTTTTAAATTGTAGTAAACTGTGCCTTTGAGTTTATTTATTGATGGAAACTTGGAATTGTTAAAACTAGGAAAGTTAGATTTTTTAAATTAAAAGATTAATCATCACTTTTTTTCTTTAGGTATCCTCTATCGGCGGCTCATCGTTGTTTTTTCTACAAAAAAGATCCTCAAATACAACACGCCTTCTTTGTCGCCTGTGGAATTGTCCTTTATTTCTTCAATTATGGTAAGTTATTTGGATTTATTTCATTTAAAGCAAATCTAAATTACAGATAAGGCTCAAATTTAACCCATGACAAAAGGTTATTTTCAGGATTCACCATCTATCACAGTCTCATCTCAATCCTCTTTGCCTACGTGATTACGAATTTCCTGCGCGGCAAAAATGAGGCTGTTTGGGCGGCACACATCGCATTTTTGGTAGGTTTCGGTTCATTTCTATCGATTGATATTTTCATTCTAGGGCCATCTACTCGTTGGATATTGGTTTGCCGAAACGGACACCTACGATATCACGTGGACGACTCCGTTCTGCATAATGTGTCTACGATTTATCGGACTTGTGATGGATGTGTATGATGGACAACATTATGTAAGTTTTGATGCTATTGTTATAATGGAAAGATTTAAATTTGCATTTAAAAAGCATTAGAACTTTATCTAACAACCGAAATTTAAAAATTTATTATTTTTTGTTATTTTAGGACTCTTTAAAAGCTGACCAAAAGCTCACAGCAATTCGTGACCCACCGAGCCTTCTTGAGACAGCTGCTTTTGGTAAGTATTAAAGAAATTGAACAAATTATAATTTTTTGCTTAGGTCTCTTCTTCACAGGAACTTTGGTTGGACCTCAATTCTCACTTGCTCGTTTCCGCGCCTTTGTCAACGGAGATTTTCTTGATGAGCAAAAACAAGTTCGGTCTAGCGGGTGAGTATGGATTATTTTTTTGATATCTTTGTTGCATCAGAAGTACCGCTTTTACTTTTTTTAGTTTGATGCCCTCGCTTGGACGCTTCGTTGCCGGTGTATTCTACATGGTGATTAATCAATGGGGTGCAGTTTGGATTCCGGACAGTTATTTCAATTCGGAGGCTTACTTTGTAAGGATCTAAACGTTTTTAAAAATAGCATAGATAATCTTCAAGTTATATAAGTTTGTACTTTACTTTCTTCTTTAGAATGCTTCTTTCTTCTGGCGTTGGACATGGGCAGTGATTTGGTTCCGCTTGACGATGTATCGATACTGTGCGGCTTGGTTGCTGTCAGTGAGTGACTTTCTTAAATAAAAATCGTATTTACAAAACTTCTCATTAAACATTTATATTTTAGGAAGGAGGGGCCATCTTAAACGGCATTGCTTACAACGGAAAGGACGAGAAAGGAGAAGACAAGTGAGTGATTTCAAAAGTTTTCTAGCAATCAAAACTTTTAGATGGGATGGTGTCCGCGATATTCACATTTCTCGATGGGAATTCGGTCACGACTACAATTCGGTGGTGCTCTCGTTCAACTGTGGAACAAATACATTTGCCAAGAAGTTGGTGACTTTGGATTTGAATAACAAGTTATTTAATCAAAGGTGTTTATAATAGCAATTATCCAAAACAGAAATTCTTCAGATATTCAGAAAACGTTTAAAGTACGAGTACCTGATTAAAACTTATAATTGGTTCAGTTAACCAGTCTACATTTTTCTTCTTTTAGTCACATTTTCCGACGTCTACGATGGTTAAATAGCAAGCCACTGGCCCATCTCTCGGTGCTGATGTACTTAGCGGTGTGGCATGGGTATCATCTCGGCTACTTCTTGTTGTTCATCTTTGAGTTCTCTTGTATGATTGCTCAAGAACAGGTATTTTGAAACTTTACATAATGAATTTAGTTACATTTTAGCTTTACTTCTTGATCGATCGGGTACCCGGGTGGAAAGAGTTTAACCAACAGGTTTGATTTTCGTTTAATTCTAACAATTTGTGAGGTTTAGGCATGGATGCGACCGATTTGCTGGCTTACCGGAAAGATGATCATCTCTTACTCAATGGGTTTCGCCTTTCTCACCTTCGGACTCATCAAGACGAGACTTTGGTACAAGGTGAGGTTTTAAAAAATAACTCTAGTGCAAAAACGTGTATTGCTACTTCTGAAATTTGAAAAAGATTGCACTTTTGACTCAAAGATCCTTATAAAATAACCGAATATAAACACAGGATACGTCATTTCGAAATTTCCTTCTTTTAGCCTCTCTTCTCGCTCTACGGTATTGGATACATTCTCTACTTTGTTGCATGGCCAATCCTTTTCCAGGTTCTCAAAGTAAGTACGATGTATTTTATAATAAACTTATTTGTTAAACTTTGAGCTAAAACTTTTATTAATGTTTCGTTTTTCAGAGAAAACTCCCACTCAAGAAGTCAGAGAAGGCCGAGAAGAAAACAGAATAAACGACAAGAAAGTATCAAGCTTTTGTCTTCAAAGACTTTCGAGTATCGTAGTTCACGTTGTAATTAGGGTATTTTCTTCCTACAGCCTTCTTTTTTCCACATACAGGTTTTCTTGCCTCCTTATGTAAATTTTTGACTTAAGGATTACATGAAATTTAGTTGGTACTTCTTTCTATTTTGTGACTGAGTAGGGATTCATATTGGAAATTTCGGGTTTATAGTTAGCCCGATTCACAAAATTCGTAGTTTTTGAGCAAACAAGATTTGGTTTGCATTTAGATAATACGAATTCCCCCACACTTTTAGTGGTTTTGATGAAATTGAGTTTTTTTTGTCTCCTCAACGAAAATGACTTTTGACGATCTGCTCTTTTTGATGTCCCTAGGTTTCTCCCTTGTTTTTTATTCACGCAAAATGTAGTCATCGTTGGTGTGAATGTGATATTTTTTTACCTTGTGAATGTGAATTTTTAAAAGCTTGTTATTAAATTTTTTTAGCGTCACACAAATCAAGCGAGTTGCCAAGACGAAAACCAAGACCAAGACTCCAATTATCAGTGTTGCAATCTCAACTCTCATTTTCCGGAAGCAAAATATTTTAGATGCAATAAGTGATTTCTGGAACTTTTAAAAACAAAAAATTTAACTTTTCCCTTTTTCACATTCAAAACTCTGGTTTGCATGACAATTTTTCCTGATCAAAGCTCATTTCTCTTCAAAATCGATTCACCCATCTTTGCGATAAGAATTTTCAAAAAAAATGCTTGCTATTTCAATTTTTCTGGCTATATTTAGTTTAACTTCAGCTAGGTCTACCATATTTATTTTATGAAAAACCAAAATTTTCTAGCATCTATGAGGTTCCAATCGTCAACACCTCTCGCTATCCGGGTATCGAGATCAAAATCGGATCACCTAGTGAGGGATTTTAGAAATATATAAACAAAATACTGTAGATTATACATAAAAATATAAAGAGTTATAGGTCTAAAATTGCAGGGCAATTGATTTACTGTGAGTATTTGAATGTCGAGTTCTACGGGATGATCATCGTTGATGGATACGATCCAACGTTCGGTTTTTGAGATTTTTTTTTGTTTTAATGTTAGTTCTTTAGTGTTTTAGGCTATAACTATGAGATTTTTTTTATTATTTTACTTTGGTTTTATTTTCAGAAAGTCGATCACTGCTAAGAACATCACGCTCACCGATAACAACGATTTCACGCTGATGGAGTCGGTTTTTTTAAACCGTTTTTATAGATTTTGTTCTATAGTTTTTAGCTTAAGCAAGAACTAGAATAAATAAAAAAATTTTAACTTTAATAAAAGCTTTTTACAAATATCAAATAAGTTTGATACTGGGTTAAATATTAGAAAAACAAGTTTTGGCGTTTGACTTAAAAAGATCTCGTGCGAACAAGCAATCATTGCTTTGTAAGTAGCCAACTTTGATATAAAAATTAGCTTCAAATTAACAACAACCCCCCCCCCCCTAAAATAAATATTTATTATTTTTTATTTAATTTTTATTTTTATTATTAAAATTTTTTTTAACAAAAAAAAAAAAAAAAAAAAAAAAAAAAAAAAAAAAAAAAATTAAAAAAAAAAAAAAAAAAAAAAAAAAAAAAAACAAAAAAAAAAAAAAAAACACCACCCCCCCCCCCCCCCCCCTCCCACAACAAAAATTTATTTTTTCATCTTTTCTTTTTTTCCCCCCCTTTTTTAAAAAAAAATTTTTTTTTAAAAAAAAAAACCCCCCAAAATCATTTTTTTTTTAACCAAACTTTTATATTTTAAAAAAAAAAAAAAACCCCCCAAAAAAACTACAACCCCCCCCCCCCCTTTTTGGGGGGGGTTTGCTTCAACTAACGTCAACGAATCGATAATTTTCGAAGCAATATATTTCTTTTCTTTTCTTTTTAGAGATACAATCTACATCTCAAACGTACCGCTACCCAATTATCGCTTCAAATTTCTCAACTATGGCTCGTCAAATAAAGTGAAAAAACGATTGGTTCACGGGAATTGCAATCTTTTCATGGGACGGTTGACAAATGTGCGCTTTGAGAGGAAATTTCAAGGTTTTACAAGCCATTAATTTCATTTTAGGGAACAATGGTGTCACCGGTAAAAGAAATGAATCAATATCTCGATCAAGCGATTCTCACGTATTACATTCGAAACTTGTATGGTTTTTGGTGATGATATTTGAATCAAAAAAATTTCTTTCAGCACAGCCGACGTTGAGATGGGATCGATGACATGGGGAGGAGTGGACACGAAAAATTGTGGGAATTTCAAATGGTATGATTCGTATGGGGAATCCGGATGGAATCTTTGGTTTACTGGGTATGTTTTTGGTTTCATTCGTAAAAATTAATGTAATGAAATTAAGTTAATTAATTAAATTAAAATAAATTCAAAAGTTGGTAAGCTTTTCTAGAAAATCTTTTCCTTTCTGTTTGTACTTTTGTTTAAAATCAATAAATGCATTAATTAAACGACGGTTTGAATGTATTAGAAAGGTTTCATTAGAAACGTCAATTGTTTTTCTGAAAAAGTACATTAAAACGGATTTCAAAATGGTTTATGTCTAATTTTTTTTGAGAGCGTTTAGTCGAGTGGTCAAAAAGTCGGCTCGATGATGTGGTTTAGACACTTTAGCTAAGGAAACCTTTCTTTGTGTCAATAGATAAAAGCTAGAGCACAAACATTTTGGTATATAGCCAAATTTTCAGAGAAAGTCATTTAGCCAATTTCTTTGTAGAGATTTCTGAGAGATTTTGACGAAAAACACGATTTTCATTCTCGAATTTGCTTGAAAGTGAACCGAAATTGACGAAAATTGAACAAGAAACACTTTACCGTATTTTCTCTAATAGTACTGCACCCCGGCGAGCCGAGTTGATGACTATTTTACAGTTTCCAAGCTTTTGCAGAAGCTCAACCCTCAAATCCCCCACAAGATCTCATCGTCAGCTACATTTTCCGACCCCACATTGATAGATTCTGATAAGCGCTTTTCGAGATTTCGAGGAATTTAGGCGACGCTCAGGGTGCACTACTATTAGAGAGAATACGGTATTATAAAACTTTTGAGAAAAGTTCTATTGTCTTTTCCTAGTGAGAGTCCTCGCCAATGATTTCTTCTTTATAACATCTCGACTTTTGAAAATACTGTACCCTTGACCCTCGCTTTCATCAAATATACCGTATTTTCTCTAATAGTAGTTCACCACGGCGAGCCGAGTTGATGACTATTTTACAGTTTTCAAGCTTTTGCAGAAGCTCAACCCTCAAATCCCCCACAAGATCTCATCGTCAGCTACATTTTCCGACCCCGCATCGATAGGTTCTGATAAGCGGTTCTCGAGATTTCGAGCAATTTAGGCGACGCTCAGGGTGCACTACTATTAGAGAGAATACGGTATTTAGAGCAAATCATAGGTTAATTGATGGATTTGTTATTTTTCAACGGATGTAGGAAAAGGAAAGAAAGGCCTTTTGGATATTACGGAATAGTATTCCATACTATTCAATACTATATTGAAGTGTGATTCTGTTTGAACGGCAGGGCATTGTCAAATCAGAGCCAGGCTCAGTCCTGGTTCTGGGCGGGACCAGTTATTTTATGATCCAGACTTACAGTCGAGTCAGGACTGAATTCTCGTCTGACGTGGCTTGAGTTGGTTTGACATTCCTGATCGAGCATGCTTAGCTAAAGGGTTCACCATTACCTTTAACACAGCAAAATGAAGACATCACTTTAGAGTTTGAGCACAAAATAAACACTCCCAATTCAGAGCTTCTGTCGGAAATGAATCAATTCCCCAGCCCGGCTACGGGGACATTTATTTGACCGATGCCGCCTTTTCGGCTCCATTTTCTCTGATACAAAATCTTCTCAACTATGGCAATTTTGTTTACGATGATTTGAGGGGAATGGTAAATTCGATATCTTTAATATCTAATATATTTCGTTACAGTACTCAATGCCTTGTTCAACTTTTCCAAAATTACCTCCAATCACGTTTTTCATCGAAGGAAATCCGATCACCGTTCAACAAGATTATTATGTGGTAAGTGGAAAAGAATAAAAACGAAACTTTTAATCTATTTTATCTATTGATTTGCCGTTTAAGGTTAAATTCAATGCGAAAGATGAGGTTGAAATTGGCAAAGAAATGTTTAGACTCAAATCTACGACGATTGCTATATCAATATCGAGGCTCAAGGATCTCTACCATTCATTTATTCACTTCCATATTATATTCAACGATATTTCTGTGTGGCGATCAACTATCAGAGTTTACAGATTGGTTTGGCTCCTGTGAAATAAAATTTCATCAAAAATTTCGTACACCAGAAAATCGAGCGTTTATGAATTTGAGCATAAAAGTATACAAATAATTGCCATTTTTTTTTCCTTACTTGGTTTTCGTTTTTAAGCAATTTTTTGCTTGTGCCATCACCATTGATTCGATCTTGCATAGGTTGACACCGGCTTCAATCTGCAAAATGGATCTACCGTAAATCCTCTATTGTCCGGTGCACACATTTTTCGGATCGCCAAAAAATCACATAAGGGGGTACCATATTGTTGAAAAAAAAATGATTTTTGCTTAAACCACTCTAACTCGATTCCTTTTGGTCTAAAACATACAAAAAACACATTTAAAACAAAAAGTTATGTTCATGGTTCTACCGGATGTCCGATCCTCGAAAATCCCTTATAATTATTTTCTCAAAAAGTGTCCAGTCAAAATTTTTTCCAGGATTGATTTGAATTTTACTGCTATGACTTTTAAATTATAATTAGGACCCATATGCATCATTTTAAGCACTTTCGGAGAAAATTCTTTTGGAAAAGGTTGGATCTGGGAGCTGTCAAAATTAGCATTAGGAGGTGGTGCCGCTCTATTAGAGGGTGCCGTTCTAATAGAGGATTTACGGTAAATTGTTAAGAGAAAAAACAAAGACTTCAAAACTACCGTAATACCTGTAATAGTAGCGCCCCCCTATAATGATGGTCGGAGCGTGGCGTTGTCTAACTTTAAACGCATTTTTCTCGTCACTCGTTTATGCTACAGTGTGCGCTTAAGTATCAAATGAAAGCTGAAATTCAGGGCTTTTTTTTGATACCAAAAATGTATTTTTAGAAATTATGGGCGCTTAGAAAAAAAATGATTTATGAAAAATTCTTTGCGACTACGCGACTGTACCTGCTATTACAGGTATTACGGTATGAAAATCCGGTTTTTGAAAGGATTTTAGATTGATATTTTCTTCTTTCACTTACTCTAATATATCCAGCTTCTCCCCAATCAGTGCCCCATTGATTTCGAAAAATCCAGTACGTCAATTCCCGTCAACTCCTGGAAAACATTTTAAACTTTATTTTTAAATTATAGGGATTATTGTATGGATTGTTCTGATGATTTCTTGGTTTAATTGAAGTTAAATGATAATTTAAGCTTAAACAAACGATATTCAACGCACTCATCGCATGCCCATTATTCTCGTCAGCTGCCGTGCACGGAGTATCGAAAACCCCAGACTCGTACTTCATGAAATCGTCATTTACAAGGATTCCTAAGATTTAGGCGAAAGTTATTGTACTTAAAATTGATATCTGAGATTTTTCTTGACCATTTGGACTTACTATGCCATAAAAACTCTAATAGAATAATCGAGTTTTTTTGCCACTTTTCAATCATTTTTTCTAAGCGCTGGTTAATGCTAGAAACATGTGTTATATCTCAAAAAAATTCACATTCTCTCTACTTTAATTTGATACCTAAACAAACAGAAACAAATGTACTGATTTCGAGATATGAGCGTTTGTTTGAGAGGAAACTTGGAGTAGATGTGAATGTTTTTTTTTGTCAAAGGGTTGCTAGAAAACTCATTTACTAAAGAGGTTTATTTCCTAAAGAGTTTTCTACTAACGATACTAACGATCGATTTTGCTCACCAAACGCAATCGGTTCATTGGCGATCAAGCTCTGCTTCACTTTGTACACACCAAATGGCAACACAGAAGCCAACGACAACAATTTGGCTTTTCAAGCGTACTAAAGCTTTTGAGGTACAGTCGAACCTCTCTATAACGTAACTCACGGGACGGCTATAGCTTACGTTATATAGAGGTTTACGTTATATAGAGTGCCGTTTTATATAGCTTAACGTCAGCCGGGACCGGTCACGCCTTACGTTATAGAGAGGTTTACGTTATATCGAGGTTTGTTATAGAGAGGTTCGACTGTATTTTAAATCAAAGAAACAAAGGAACAGGCAATGTTTTAACTAATTTTGACTAATCTAGAAAAATTTCTATATAATTTACGTTTTTACAAGTCGATTTCTGAGCCTCCGAGTACGGGAAAAGAGCCTCGGTTGTTTGACCGCCACTTTGGAGAATATAGCTGGAAATATTAATGAAATGATGAAATTTCTTTTAAAACTAAGTTTAAATGCTTAAAATTTTGAAATCCCTTTTGAAAATGAGATAGATTTCTTTTGAAATCTTTAAACTTTAAGCACTCGAGCGCCTTTACTTTACTCACTCATCCGAGGAATGGTAGACTTAATAAAATGATTAGCTCCAATCAATTGCTGGACCCTGAAAACCCCCGGGTACAAATTTACACCCCAATATCTTCTTTTTATGCAATTTAAAGAACAAAAAAAGAAAAAAAAATCACAGTGTAAAGTGATTGGCTGTGCTTTGTGTGCGCGCACAATGGCTCACAATCAAGCACACCCGTCCGGTATAGCCGTCACTGTGCCCAAACTTTTGAGAGCAATCCTTGCCCCAATTTTGGCTGTATTCTTGCTACAGATTCCGGATCCTGTAGAGCCAAAAACCAAGCGATAAAAAACACCGAAAACGACACAAAACTTCCTCTCCTTTCCATTTGAACTTTCAACTGTCAAACAATGAAGAGCAATTCTTTCGCAGAGTCTGGTTATGGGGAGATAATTCTGACGGCGATCATTTACAAAATTTGCAATTGCACGTATTTTGCAAGTGATAAGCGCTCAACTTTGAACTTTCTCTGGGTTTAAAAGCCTTGAAAAATCAGCAAAAGAAATGCAATCAGAAAATGTTGAGGCTAATCGGTTTCTTCGTCGTCGTTGTTGTTCAAGTAGGTTTTCAGAAAACATTAATATTCTAGATTATTCTAGATTTTATTCTAGATAAATGCTTCCTTTGATTTCACAACTTGTGGTACAATAAAAACTTGTTTGTTGAGTCCAGATGGATGTGAATCGAATCAATCAAAGTGTGTACAAGGGCTTTCGTTTAAGAGAGCGGTGAGTGGATCGAGAAAAATGCTGTAGCTTAAGGATTGTCTATTGATATTTTCTAATAAGTGAAGTCTAATAAGTATTCAATTTATAAGACTACCGTAGTCCATAAAGGCTAATAGCAAAACAGATTTAAGATAAGAAATACAACGATCTGGTAAAGAACAAACCCATCGAGTAGCTGAGAAATGCTTTAAAGCACCTGAACATTCGGAACATATTTGCCCGTTACTTTAAAGTCTTACTCTTATATCTCTAACTTTAACTTATGCTTAGTTCTTGTGCTTAATTCTTGTGCTTAAACATTAAACAAAATTCCCCATTTCCATTTCCAGTCAGCCTCTTTCCTTGAAGTGGAACTTTTCGCGAACAATCTCCCCTCAAATGCCGCCTACAATTCCTATCTAGCCATCGGATTTCAAGCAGCCGAATGTGAGCAAATCGAAAGTCACAGCAGCCTACCGTGCATGGTTGGTGATTGTTGAAAAATGAAAAACATTTTCAGCTACTGTTACCCAAATTTCGATCCAGCTTATCAGAAAGTCTTTTCCGCTTTTTGAAAGGAATAATCAACCAATTAATCTATAATTTATTCCCTCAGAAAGTCCTATTATTTATTTCCAAATTCCTCTTTAAGAAATTCTGAAAAGCTCGCGTTAATCAACTTTTTTGAATAAAAAGAGAATAAAAAGTTATGTAGATAGATGAAATTTCAGAGAAATTGATTCAGCCAATTTCTTCGTAGAGGTTTTTAAAGATTTTTAAATTCAACCTTTCTCATTCTATGTTCATTGTAAGGTTTTTTTTTGAGGGAAAACAAGAATTCCTGTTCGAATTTGCCTCAAAGTGGACTCAAATTTGCCTAAAAAAATCGGCTAAATGAAATAGTGAATCTTTTTTATTAAAAAAAAAACTATACTTTCATCAACTAATTCATTTATAAATGAAAATTTGAAAGCCGACAAAACTTTCCGGTCAAACTAATAGATCCAAGTCATATTGGACTATTTTTAGTCATTTTTAGCCACTATATAGCTATGAATTGAGAACTTTAATGATTTTATAAGTCCCAATTCATCATTTCAGTCCAACACTCCAGTGATGGAGTGCTTGAATGAAATGATTCTAAACCAAATCATTCTAAACCATGTCACCATCTAGGCTTCAACGCCAGAAATGGGAAAATATACGCGCAAAAGACACGGCGAAACGCAGGACCCGGCATTCTTTAAAGAATTCTAAAGAAAAGAAAAAAAGAAAAGAAAAATAAAAAAGGGAGTGGGACAAATGCGACCTTTTTTTGCGCACCTTGCCCATTAACGCACCTTTTTTCGCGTTTTAAACAAGCTCTAAAAAGCTAATATTAACCAATTTCTATTCCAAAAGTTGTTTTTCTAGGTAATTTTAGGGCGTAGAATCGAAATTTTGACATATCAGAGCTTGTGGAAACAAACGGACGGAGTTATACAAAGAGGAAAATCGACAATTTTCTGTAATTTGATCTAGCCGTTTTGTCTTTCAAATTGGTTCCACACGCTCTGATATGCCAAAATTTCGATTCGAAACCCTCAAATTACCTAGAAAAACAACTTTTGGAATAGAAATTGGTTAATATTAGCTTTTTAGAGCTTTTTTAAAACGCGAAAAAAGGTGCGCTAATGGGCAAGGTGCGGAAAACAAGGTGCGCAAATGTCCGGGTGCGCAAAAAAAAAGTCGCATTTGTCCCACTCCCATAAAAAAAAGAAAAAAAAAAGAAAAATAAAGAAAAGAAAAATAAAGAAAAAATAAAGACATGATTCTTTAAAAGAATGAATTTTGAAGCGATGGGAGACGGAAAGGGAGACACCGTCTCGAGTACGGTAGCTTAGGTGTATTTTAGAATTTACGGTTGGAAAGTTGCCAACCCGGACTCACACTGCGGGAATTTTCTCTCAATACATCAATAAGTATTAATAATTCTAATGTATGGCTAGTATATTGAACAAAATGATTCTAAACCAAAAGCCATGTCACCATTTAGGCTTC